CTAGAATTCCTCGGCAATATATTTATTCAACTGTCCCGCGTGTCTAGTCAGTCTACTGACAAGACACGGACCTGGCCGCTTTAAGATATTAAGCTAAGTGATTTTCTGTAATTGAGTGGTATTGTTTTATTTATGTATGTGCTGATGAAGTTTCCATAGCCTCAATGTTCATGTTTTGTTTTGTTTGTGTTTGTTAAATTGTGAAGCTTGCTGATATACTTTTCCTCAGGTTTTTTATCTTTTCTTGATGATGTCATTGTGTTGGTGTTGATGATGTTATTGTTTTGGTGTTGATGATGATGTTATGTTGGTGTTGATGGTATAAATGTGCCTGTTCCTCTTGTGTTTACTACTGGTGTTGTCATTGAGTTGGCCTTGTCCCTATGATTGCTGTGGTCACAGATCCCACTCCACTCGAGTCCAGTGATCGCATACCTTGTGGTAGCACTTGTACATACTAATTTCGTTGTTCTTGCTTGTTTATAGGGCATACCACTTGTGTACAGGTCATACTGCTGGTGTTAAAATTAGTGCATACAGCTGGTGTACAGGGCATACAGCTGGTGTACAGGGCATACAGCTGGTGTACAGCTAGTGTACATGGCATATCGCTGGTGTACAGGGCACACAAGTAAATGAACACTTAATCTTACATATAACTCTCAGGGTTGAACATGGTATTGTTTATGAGAAAATCACTACTACATCTTCTGTTTAACTGACGTCCTTTGAAATCTTTGACGTTCTGCTTTAGTGCAGTTTAAGGGCTCCATGATATTATTGGCAACAACAGTAACAAATTACTTCAACCCTCTTTTTGCAAGTCTTCTTCTCCTTCTTCTTCTTATTCTCATTCTTTTTCTGTTTCTGCTGCTGCTGCTTCTTCTTTTTCTTCTGCTGCCTGTTTTCCCGTTCTTTTTCGCATTAATGAAAAAGTCCCCCTAAACAGGGAAAATCCACAGGTCACGGGACAGTCTGCATGACGTCGTGGGACCTAGGTTGCACTCTCTCGCGGGACGTAGGCGAGATTGGGTTAGGGCCAGTTCTAGATATGTTGGGGTTGTTTAAAGCATCATAAAGCCCGAAAATCCAGTCTTACCACCCTCTAAAATGTTCGACTGTCTTGTGACGGTATCTGAGGTAGGATATTGCGAAAGAACCGAAAACTCTGGTGGAAAGTTTTGGGTCTTCGTTCACCTTTAGACTTTAGTCTTGTTCCAGAACTTGAGTGTTGCCTGCACATCTGTTTCACAGATCTGTCTTATATACACGAAAGATATTATTTATATGCAGACTCTTGGTTCCTCTCCTTTAGGAGGATGTACTCCATTTTCGAAGGATGACGCCCACCCCAATTAGTCTACTCCTGATTCTTTTTTGTAAACAACGTTTTAAAAGGTCCATGGCAAGCCTTCGAAAATAAGCGGGGTCAGCGGGTCTTTTCTGTAGGTCAGTTTATGACTGTCCTTCTCGGCGACCCGCAGATGAACCTTGACCTGTGCCAGTGCGAGTATCCACAAATGTTTGACTGGTAAATTTTACGCTCGTCTCCCCATTTGCACCCTGCTACACAATAGCTCACTTCTGATTAGACGATCTACTGACCAGCTTACCTTTGATAGGTCGTCCTCGAGCGATCTGACTGTCACACATGGTCAATGGGATATTCCGCACTCGCGCTCATACCGCGTGTTGTATATTTCACCATGCCAGAGCTTTTAACACTTCTAAAACATTTAGATACTGGGTCTAACCCACAGCCCCCCCCCCCCCTAAAGAGTGAGAAACCCTATGTCACATGCCGTCTTCTTCTCATAAATAAAAACGTAAATATTAGACAACAGCAGACTGCGACACCCATAACCTCGACCACGGTAGACAAGTCCAACCAACTTATCAATTGAGTTGACCTTCAATCGGTGATGTGCTAATGGGGAGACGAGCGTAAAATTCACTGTTTGATTAAAACGTATTTCATTGTTCTTATGTATCACCTGACAATTGGCATACCTTCAGTTTAAATCGATAGTGTAGGCGACCCGTGAATTACATAAATATATTAAATTCTCACGTGTGAGCATACACCTGTTTGGGCAGTAAAGTAGATAGACCTAAAAATGGGGAAACTGATAGATGGAGATTTTATAGCACTGAGGAATTTGTGGAGATAAAAAGAAATGAAAACGAATACTATACTTACAATTTCTATTGCTAAATCAGTATTGTTGGATGGAGTTGGGAAAAAAAAATTAAAATTGCTACAAATAAACTACAAATATTCATTAACTGGTGCATTAATGGTACTACTACTACAGAATCACTAATATTGAGCTTTGAGGGAGAAACGTTCCAGTGGGCCAAAATGTGAAGAAAAGACGCTGCAGTTGGATAGGACAGCGTCCGATGAGCTGATAGTGAAGGATAGACCGACTTGACGTGAGTTGGTTGAGCGCCTATGCGCCAGAGAAGCAAAGGTGGACAGCGTAATGCTGACGACATCACATAAAGAGGACTCTACCACAACGTTCACTTGTCGGCAGTGTTTGTGACAATGTAAGGCTGACTGGTTGTACACTTGTACTTGTCCTTTCGTTTAAAATCCACTTGGGACAGGTCTAGCCCTATATTCCCAATACGCTTAAAGGCATGGACAAGAGACCTTTACTTTTACTTACCTAATATCCACTTGTTTTATATTCTAAATGGCGAAAAAGCAAAGGTGTCGGTACTCCCCACAAAGTTTCTAAAAAGGGTGCTGGTACTCAGCACAGAGTTTCTAGTATATTAAGGCAAAACAAATGATGCTCCAAACAAATATTCCGACACTGTTGACCGTTACTTGTCACTATATAAAAAGCCCGGCACAAATCATATTATTTCAGAAATATTAAACATTTTGTTGTTGTTGAAGTTCAGCACATCATCATCATCATCAAACACCTGAAGAAAGGGTCCGCGAGATAGTTTGTAAGCGAGCCGAGTGACCCCCTCTCGCCCCCCCCCCCTCCTCTTTTTTTATTCTACCTAATGTTTTCTTTGTCTCGACACCCCTGGTCTTGTTGTAGTTTGCATCGTCTTTTTGATAGCTGAAGAAGGTTAACTCTCTAAATGTGTCAATTCCTGTGCTTGTATACTTAAACAAACTGGGTCACTCAACTCACACTTGCTGTTTGACAGAATCTGATATGTCTTCGACAAGTTAAATATTATATTAGTATTCTCTTGAAATATCAAAACTGTATTTTTCCAAACGAAACACATTTTGTGCACTAAATCTGTGTCATTGGAGGTTAGGACAAGAATTCTCGCATGCTATATAGAGCCAGTTTTAACGTAGGGCTGTGAATCCTGGACAATTTTTAAACAAGCCGAACAGTATCTTGAGACCTCGAAGACAACTTATCACAAACATCAGAAAGAAACAGTCATCATTTTTTTGTCATGTTATGAGAAGATGGAAAATAGAACAGGTTCTGACCACTATAAATATTTGTGGAAAGAGAGACGGAGGAAGACAGAGCGAGAAGATTCTTAACAGCCTTTTGCCATGGCATGGAGGGGTGTCAACACACGAACTGATACACTCAGTTGCATATCGCAGATTGTGGCGAAACATGATCGGCCACGCCAGTCAACAAGGCACTTGATGATGATTCTCTTAAAATTAACATAATGCGTATGAATAGCAAACAGTTTGGAAATACTTTCTCTTGGCCTTGTACGACATGCTTGTAAGGGAGACAGCGGGTCTATACCTTTTCTCCTGCAGAATTAGACCCAGGAACCCACCGAGAGAAGTTAGAAATGCGATGGACACTGTGTATAAACCAGAGGGTTGAACAGGGTATCAGACAAGAGATTTTTGCTACTGTTAAATGGAATGATTCGATAATTTCTCATTAGAATTGTAAATATGCAAACTTTGCTCAGGCAATTAAAAGTCTAAACACCGAATCAGTTAATTTAAGTTGTGTCCTCGACTACGTGACTGCTGTATCAGCGCTGATAATTGATCGTTGGGGGTGTCGGAACATGGAAGATTTGGCATCTTGTATCCACCCGGCATATTTTAGTGGGAGCTCATCCTCTCAACCAATTTTTTGTAATAAGGCTAAGCTACCCCCCCCCCCCACCACCCCCCATGCACAGATCTATTTTCAAACTTGTTTGTACACAGGTCGGCTCTGTGGCTAAGTCGATGCAAACGCTTCGTAATGCCAGGATGCCGGGTTCGATCCCAGCTGCGGGCAATGCGCCTTGCATTGGTTTCGACAGTGGTATCAAGAAAGCCGACCGTCCAGAGCAATGGCAAACTACAGGAAGTAAATATGCCTAGAAAAACCACACAACTGCCAGGGGTTGTTGGGGTTGGTTCTGCTACGTTCTGTAAACGGATACGCAACTAACTTAACTTTGTACATTGAACGCTCCCCCCCCCTCCCCCCACACTCCCCTATTCCCGGCCGTTTGTCAGTACGGGCAACGTTTTAAGACAATTTTTTTTCAGTACCACTGTAATAGACACTTGGGTGAGTACCGGCACCCTTTTAGACACGTTTTTTAGTACCGGCGTCATTTTTTAATAGAAAAGGTCCTGCTTAAACATATCTTATATTTATTATACATATTATTATATTTATTTGACATCCGTAAAAATGATGATGATGATGATGATGATAATAATAATAATAATAATAATAATAATAATAATAATAATATGCAGGATGGCAAATCATAAGAAGGAAAAACCTCATGCTCCTATCGTTGGCTTTCATTCTTCTGATTTGCAAGCCAGCATACGCCCCCCCCCTCTCTCTCTATCTCTCTCTCTCTCTCTCCCCCCCCCCCATTATCTTTGTATCGGCGCCCCTGTATCAGATAGATAACAACCCACCAGTCAACGACCTACAAAACTCATCAACAGTAAAAGTCGGCAAAACGAGGTCAGCAAGCCGACAATAAAAAACTCAAGTCACTAGACCGCAACACAGCTGACAAGTATGGCTTGCTTGCTAGGGTGTAGTGCTGGAGGGGCGGTTCTTGTCGTGTTGCCGGCATTGTTGATTGTGTCTTCAGCTCTCAAATACGATCCTACGTGGGCTTCGCTGGACACAAGACCGTTGCCTGCATGGTACGACGAGGCCAAGTTTGGAATCTTCATTCACTGGGGAGTATTTTCCGGTACACATGATTGAACGGTTGAACTTTAACTAATTACTGTTTGTGTGTGTGTTTGTGTGTGTAACGGTGAGTGTCTAAGTGACTGTGACTGAGGGGGTTACTGTGTAAGAAACAGATAGATAGATAGATAGATAGATAGATAGATAGATAGATAGATAGATAGATAGATAGATAGATAGATAGATAGATAGATAGATAGATAGATAGATAGATAGATAGATAGATAGATAGATAGATAGATAGATAGATAGATAGATAGATAGATAGATAGATAGATAGATAGATAGATAGATAGATAGATAGATAGATAGATAGATAGATAGATAGATAGATAGATAGATAGATAGATAGATAGATAGATAGATAGATAGATAGATAGATAGATAGATAGATAGATAGATAGATAGATAGATAGATAGATAGATAGATAGATAGATAGATAGATAGATTGATTGATTGATTGATTGATTGATTGATTGATTGGATTAGATAGATAGATTGATTGATTGATTGGATTAGATAGATAGATAGATTGATTGATTGGATTAGATAGATAGATTGATTGATTGGATTAGATGGATATATTAGAGAGAGTGAGTAATTCTTATAGCTTCATTTGTTATCTCTTGGTCGATATTACAATTTTGGCTTGGAATGGCTTCCTTTGCTCTACAGAAAACAGGGATTTCTCACGTGGTGTATGAAATATACACTACAACGAAATTATTGAATATAATATAGGACCCAAGCCTTCTACCAATGACACTGGAACATTTTGTATGGACAGACTGCTCAAGAAAATTTCTCGGAACATTAAAACATTTTTAAACAGAATTAAAATTTGCAAATAAATGAAGCTATATAATAAACTGTATGAAAAGACTATGTGTAGTAAAAGTAGCAGTCCCAAAAATATCCTGTTCAATCCACAGGGTCATAATTAGGATATAAGTATATGGTAGCAGTTACATTCAATATAAGTATCACACTTGTTTGACAGGAATAACTGAAAAAATTATACAATATAAAATAACAAAAGTGTTAATAAAGTGGACATCTTTTCTCTCTGTTATAACCACAAGAAGTTGAATAAGATACGGGATATATGAATATGCTATTCATCTGTATGTTTATCGCTTAGGGTATGTTAAACATCAAGACACTGGATTCAACAAATAAACTGTTATCTATATTTTTCTTGTTTTTGATTAGTTGCCATGTGGTTCACATCACAATTTAATTTGTTGTGCTGACCCCCAGGTTTTAACAGGTTGAATAAATACACTGGTCTAAACAGTGGGCGAGGTTGTCTGCCTGAATCCACTTGTCAGTAGAGATATGTTTCTAGTCTACACAGTTGTGTTGAGTGATTTGCTGTGCTCGGCTCTGTCTTATGTTAAATCCACTTTTGTGGGTATTTGCAATCATCTCACTAGCTCTGTGCAAGAGTGGTTTCTTTTGATAAGAGTCTTACTCTGGCATCTTTTAGTGAAAAGTGTTAAAATGTATCTATCTGGGTGCCAGTTTGTACCAGCTTCAGTAGAAGTCCAGGCATAGCAAACATCTTTGGTGCCACACAGCAGCCTTTTGGATGCTTCAAGGCAGACATCTTTGATTAAACGAAGCAGGGATCTTTAATGCTGCAACATTTTTACTGTCTACACACCGAGTAATAGCAGATTAAGTATATCAGAAGACACTTTCTTCTTTATTATTCTTTAGCGACCTCCTGTCATGCACTTAATCCACTGTTGGTCATACAGTGGGATGTCATCTCAAGGTCTTTTAGGTTTTCCCAAAGCTTAGTTGTCAGGTCTGTTGGGTGTAGCCACATGGCACTTTGCAGCTCCGCCAAGAGAGGACAGTCTTGCAAGACATGTTCTGGAGTTGGTTCAGCATGAAGAAACTGGCAGAGAACTGTCTGGCTCATACTTAATTTATGTGAGTGTTTGTTGAGCCTTCAGTGTCCAATGCATAAAAGCAAAACTGCGACTTGGTCTGTTTTGTTCAGATGTTTGAGGAAATCATTCTGATTATGGCCTGTGTTTGTTTTCCAGTCTGGGTCTTGTATTCTTTTAATGAGGTATTTGAGTTTTGGAAAAGAGAGGGGCTGGTCGATTTTTTATTTGCTGCTGCCTTGCTTGACCAAAATGTCAGCTCTTTCATTGCCTTTGATGCCACAGTGAGGTAGAATCCACTGCAAGTTGGTATCTGACTTTGTCTACAATTCAGCAAGTTCTTTGTTAGGTTCAGTAGTTTGCTGTCAGTAATTTTGGCCTCTAGAGCCTGTATGGCTGATGGTGAATCTGTAAGAAAAAAAAGACACTTTGATAATCACATGAATAATATCAATCCAAATGAGAAGAAGAACTAGTCTGCTTCACAGTACCACAGTCATGAACAACAAAATGAATGTGACAGGTAAAATGCCTTCATAAGATTTCAACACAGACAGTGATCCATTACAAACAGCAATACGTATATTCACTTTTTTGATAATCCCAGAGCAGCAGTGAGGTGGAAGGTAACAGTTTATTGTCATTTAATTCAAACATCCAAGTAAATTGATAAGGATCAAACAAACAGAATCTTGGACAAAGATATGAACTTGATATGTGGTGGAAGAGTAACATTTAGCAAGCATCAGTAACACTGCTGTTTCTTTGTGCTGTTTGTCTTAGCTATATATTCAAATACACTACAAATTATAACTGGTAAGATACAGAGAGAAGAGCTTTCTAGACAGATTAGAATCATGTCCATAAAAAAAATATACAAATCTGTAAACCCAAACTAAAATGGGTAGCAGAAAATATTTTGAGAAGTAAAAGCAGCTAATTTGATGCTGTCTGTATCATTCGCCAAGTACTGATAGATCATTTAAAAATTAGGGTATAACAAATGATATACACTTGGAGGTATGGGAAAGGGTCCTTTACTTTTTACTTTTACTGCAGGGTTGAGAAAGGCCTGATTACCCATGAAGGCTTCGGAGATGTACTTCAGGTAGATTTGTGTCACACTTTTAATGCATGGATTGGTATTTGATTGCAGTGCCCAGTTTTCGCTCAGAGTGGTTCTGGTGGGACTGGCAAGGAGCCAAGTACAATGACACAGTTGACTTCATGCAGGAGAACTACCCCCCAGATTTTACCTATGCAGATTTTGCGAACCAGTTCAGCGCAGAATTCTATAATGCAACTCAATGGGCACAGCTGTTTCAAGATGCTGGAGCCAGGTACGTATTGACTGCATAGACTCTAAATATTTGTTAAATGGTAATGAAAGTTATTACTCAGCATGTATTTGAATTCCCCGCAAGATGATTTTATTTAAATTGCCTCAGAGACACAAGGCTACTAAATTAACTTCTTTTTTTTTTGAGTGCAAATACAGAAGAAGAAGAAGGAGAAGAAGAAGAAGAAGATGAAAAAAGGAGGAGGAGGAGAAGAGGAAGAGGGGGAAGAGAAAGAGACTGTTATCCTCTGTTTACCATCTTTTCAAATTTGTCTGATATATAGACTTTTCCTGCAGGTACATAGTCTTTGTCAGCAAGCATCATGAAGGCTTCACAAACTGGCCCTCCAAGTACTCCTGGAATTGGAACTCCCAGGATGTGGGACCAAGGAGAGATCTCGTTGGTAAGATATACACTATTTTACAACCTTGAGCAATACTGTCCTTCTTACTTTTGCACTTTAACTGTCTTTATCACTCAGCCTTATACTCTTTTGTTTTCTTCTTTTTTCTACTATGTTTTGCTGTCTTTCTTCCTCAAATTTTTTTTTTTTATCCCTGCAGTTTTCTTCTTTTTCTTCACCTTTCCATTTTCTTCTTAAAAAATGATAAAATAAACCTTGGTGTCTTGTTATGACAAGCTAGTAAGGTGACTTAAAAGTCAGTGGCTGTGTAACTTGGCTTGGAAGCCACCTGTCTGGACATTGATACACGTTTTTTTTTAGCATCCGTAATGAACAAGAGGTGAAAAGGGGGATAAAAAGTTGGCAACTAAAAGAATTAATTTATTTTCTTACATTTTGTTCTTCAATAATGTTACTGTCTGTAACATCAATGACCTCAGAAATATTTTCAATATTAATCTAATTCTTGTATGCTATTTGATTTCCTATGTTTAATTAGTATTACTGAGTCCCAGAAGATACGCACATACAACAATAGCCACAAGGACAAAAGACAGTGCTTTACTTTGTCATCGACGGCATACACCCGACAGAGAACATATACTGTGCGCAGGTGAGACTACTGTCAGAGATACCAAAATAGGTCTCTGACAACCACTAATAATAAACTGTGGATAACATTTCTTGTTTTTAAAAATCTTTATGTACTTCTTTGTTCAGGTGAACTGGCCACTGCTATCAAGAATACCACTAATCTTCACTTTGGTCTCTATCACTCGCTGTATGAATGGTTTCATCCACTGTATTTAGCAGACAAGGAAAGTAACTTCAGTACACAGAACTTTGTTAATGTAAGTGCGTCCTCTCTTAAAAACATACCTAAATATCTGCCTGTCAGAAGAAAGCAGACTGAGAGGGAAACCTGTCTAATTAGTTGCCTCCTACAAAATGCTTGGGGGAGGGGGGAGGAGTCTGTTCTTCATTCTCCTCAATGAAGTCCTCGAACTCACACAGGGAGGGTCACTTTCAAATAGTTGCTCTTTGAGTCTCTAAGTGTAGTACATCAAGTCGTCCCCATGTGGGATGCAATTGTTGATTATTTGAAGCCCCACCCTGGCTTTTGTCAGGTGCCCTGAATATAGCTGGTTCATTAATATGGCCTAACGGCTGAGATGGGTTTCTGGGACCTCTCCACGGGTCATCCTCATCCGCGTGGTGGCACTTTGTGTTACCGGGTGTTTGTCACTTGTGTGATCTCCTGGTGGGGAATTACAAGAGAGATAGAGAGAGTCTAGGTGTCAGTCTTTCTGGCTGCAATCTCTAAGGAAAACATTAAAAACGAAATATCCATTATTTCAGAACCGTCCACTGCAGACTTCGTAGTACCTCTACCATTTTAAAGATGATTATCCATGAAGAACTGTAGGAGAGAACCTAGAAGAAATCCTTGATTTCTCTAGGACTGCCCAGATTTTAGAAATCCTGTCAAACATGGCTAAGGATACAGAGCTGAAGCAGAAATTATGGAACACCTGCGACCTGAAGAAAATTGTGAACTTCATCCTGGCAACAGGACTGCTTTTGTGACATGGTCAGTGACTTTATCTCTGGAATAGAACAGTCAGAAGTAAAGTTCACAATCAAATATTGTGTCTCAGTCAGTCAAATATTTCACTTCTTGTATGTTTATTTGTGGACACACTTCTGTCCAAGCAATGACTCTTATTAATTTATTATTGATACTCTCCTGTATTGAAGTTAAATTGATCTTCTTGCTCAGAGTAAAACTTTGCGGGAACTCTATGAGCTGGTCAACACTTACAAGCCAGACGTGGTGTGGTCGGACGGAGACTGGGAAGCACCAGACACTTACTGGAAATCTCAGGATTTCATTGCCTGGTTGTACAATGAGAGGTAAAACAAGTAGATAATGTGATAAAAAAGTTAAGACACAGGTGCCTTTGTTGAGGTGTCTTCTTCGTCTTCAATCCTTCTATTAGAAAAACTTAAATCAGGAGGCCAACAGTGTTGATGAGCTATCATGCAGTGTGTCTCCCCGTGTGCTAAACAGCATTGTTTTGGCTGAGGTGGGAACAGGCCAGGTGGCCTCTGTGTTAGCAGCATACATTCTACAGTGCTGGAGTACATGCTGAGCATTTTCAGGTGCCAAGCTGAAGGACACATCTCTGTGTTTCCACTACCAAAAACTTGAACATATGTTGGCAAAGTCTTTTGTTTCTTGTCCTTAGTCTGCACACAATGACCCTCTCTTGAAAGCGGATAGAGCAAGTTTTGGGGGTAAAATTTGGTGTGGTATTCAGCCACCTTTCTTGAATTATAGTTTTTATTAATGTCTTAGTGCCCTAGTGGGTTAAGTCACCGTTTGACTGCACCATGTCACCGCCGCTTCTGGCTAAACTGTTTACTATTTCATTGCTTTCCAAGCCAAAGTGGCTTGGGTCACAAATTGTAGCTGAAAAGTAACTAAAGTTCTCTACCAGGCCTTGAAATGTATGTGAGAAACAATGTATGTCCTATATTTTCTATAGATGGCACCTGATGGCTGATGTGGTTAATTTCAGTCTGGCCATCTTTCCTGCCTACAACTTACCTAGTCCATGTCAGTTTCATAACCCACCTCTGTCATGAAATAATGTAGATTTATGTGTCCCATTCTTCTTCTTTGAGTTCACCAGTTGTAAACTGTGACAGAAAGTTCTGGTTGTTCATCCACTTCTGGACTTCGATCTTGTTTCAGAAGCTGGTTTTGCATGCAAATCCATTTTACAGATGTGGCTTATTTTTATGCAGACTGCCGGTGTCTCACTTCCCACGCAAATGCACTCAGATTTGAAAGGAAACACACCTAATTAGTCAACTTTTACAAAATGCTTATTTTGGTATGAAGCGTAGGTTCACTTCCCCCCCCCCCCCCCTCCAAAAAATAGAGCCCAGTAGCCCACACATGGATGCATCCTATTAACTTTTGCAGTAAAAGACAATCATGAAGAAGATATTACAGAATTACTTTTCGCCGACGACCAGGTACTCATAGCAGAAAGTACGAAATGCCTACAGAACCACCTAAATCAAATTAGTAACAGAGGGGAGGAATAAAATATGAAAATAAACACTACGAAGACAGAGACAATGATGGTAGGAAGACATAAAGACAATTTAGAAATTAAATTAAAAAACAACACCCTGAGACAAACAGAGGAATTTAAGTATTTGGGAGCAATTTTTACATCTGACAGAAAACTAGACGGAGAAATAAGCTCCAGATAAGCCAAAGCTAATCAAGTAATGGGTCAACTATCTTCCCTGTTGACACACAAGCAGATACCTCGGAGTACTAAAGTGAATCTTATCAGAACTATTTTTTGGCCAACACTATGCTATCAATGCCAAACGTGGACACTTACATCCTCCAATGAACGTAAAATTGTGACAACAGAGATGAAATGCCTTAGAAGAGCTGCAGGAGTTTCAAGGAAAGACAGAATACTTCTTCTTCTTCTTCTTCTTCTTCTTCTTCTTCTTCTTCTTCTTCTTCTTCTTCACCACTTCCTCTTTTACCGCTGTGGGTGTCGAGGGAGATATAAGATTCTGTTTCTAGCTCTTCTGGCTGCCTCGACCATAGGCACATCGTGCTGTTGTAGAGTTTCTCTGATGTTATCCTTCCATCTTGTTCTTGGTCTACCCCGTGCTCTACGTCCTTCTTCTCTTTCCATGTATGCTTTGTATGGTATGGTGTCACAAGGCATTCTCTCTAAGTGGGCAAACCATTTCACTTGCTGTCTTTGTATGTAATCCAGAATTGGTTCTGTGCCGACTTGTTCTCTTATGATCTCATTCCTGATCTTATCTCTTATGGTCACTCCTACAGCCCTTCTCAGACATCTCATTACCGTGGTTACTAATTTTCTTATATGGTTTGTTGTGAGTGAACATGTCTGGCACTGGTAGCACAGAGTTGGAATAAATATGCTTTGAATAAGATGTCTCTTTGTGCTGATTGGGACAGAATACGGAATGCTAGGAATAAAGCCAGTCTTACAGGTCATCAAAGAACAACAAATGAAGTGGTTTGGACACCTAACAAGAATGCCCTGGTACTATCCGCCACAGCGAGCCACACTAAAACGTTACAATGGGTATAGAGCGAGTGGAAGATCTCGGAAAATATGGAGTGATGGCATTAGGAACAACCTTACAGAAATTAACATCAGCCTTAATAGTGCTCTTTGCAGAGCCGATCAACGAACATTACATCTCCCCCTGACACTTCGATGAGGTACAAGGTGGAAGAGAAGAAGAAGAAGAAGTAAAAGACATTATGTGGTGTGTGTGTGTGCATGTGAGCTGGGGGAAGGGGGAATATGCATATAATTCCATAATTTGTCTGGTACAAACTGTATGTAATATGTGTACTTGTACATCCATTTATATTTTCCCTAATGTGTAGTTGTTGCTTTCAGCCCTGTCAAAGACACTGTTGTGACCAATGACAGGTGGGGTCAAGGGGTCATGTGTGAGCATGGTGGCTTCTTTACCTGTTCCGACAGATATAATCCAGGTTTGTTGTTGCAAAGCTGTTAAAGTCACATGTTTATTCTACCTTGAACATGTAATTGGCAGAAGAAGTAACACATTTGATGTGGAGAGAATTATACATAGAACAGGACACAGAATGTCCTGATTGCAGTCAAGTGGGTTATTAACTCAGCTCAACTCAGCAAGTAAGATGTTTATCATATCTCAGACACCAGTAATAACAAGACACCCCCCCCCCCCCCCCCCACACAAAAAAAAGATAAAGAGATTAGGAATTTCCAAAATTATTGCAAACAACATGAACAGAATATTAATATATAAAGAGGTAAACAAAATATGGGGTTAGAATTATCAAATGTGTATACTGATTATGACCATATGGCACAAAATCCTGGACAGTGAACAAGTAATTAGAAATGTGAACATAAAGAAGAATATGCAAAATTCCACTGAAAGAAAAATCTTCAAATCCCAAGGGTCTAGTGAGATGAGAAGGGAGAAGAGAGTTGATACAAAAAGATACATGTTAAATATTTTAAGAAAATTCTTATGAAATATATACTAAAGAGTAAAGTTAAAGGCAGGTGAGCAAGAGGTAATCACATTACAGGTGGGAAGACGGCATCGTGAAATGAAAGAAAAGCAGTCAGCCAGGGAAAAAAATATATAGAGATGGAGATGACAAATTACAGACAGCATTGAGTCTGGAGATGATGCATTACCGACAGCCTTGAGTCTGTCCGGAGATGACACATTACAGACAGCCTTGAGTCCAGAGATGACAAATTACAGACAGCCTTGAGTCTGGAGATGACACATTACAGACAGCCTTGAGTCTGGAGATGACACATTACAGACAGCCTTGAGTCTGGAGATGACACATTCAAACAGCGTTGAGTCTTGAGATGACACATTACAGACAGCCTTGAGTCTGGAGATGACACATTACAGACAGCCTTGAGTCTGGAGATGACACATTACAGACAGTCTTGTGTCTGGAGATGACACATTACAGACAGCCTTGACTCTGGAGATGACATATTACAGACAGCCTTGAGTCTGGAGTTGACACATTACAGACAGCATTGAATCTGGAGATGACACATTACAGAAGGCCTTGAGTCTGGAGATGACACATTACAGACAGCCTTGAGTCTTGAGAGGACACATTACAGACAGCCTTGAGTCTGGAGATGACACATTACAGACAGCCTTGAGTCTGGAGATGACACATTACAGACAGCCTTGAGTCTTGAGAGGACACATTACAGACAGCCTTGAGTCTGGAGATGACACATTACAGACAGCCTTGAGTCTGGAGATGACACATTACAGACAGCCTTGAGTCCGGAGTTGACACCTTACAGACAGCCTTGAGTCCGGAGATGACACATTACAGACAGCCTTGAGTCTGGAGATGACACATTACAGACAGCCTTGAGTCCAGAGTTGACACATTACAGACAGCCTTGAGTCCGGAGATGACACATTACAGACAGCATTGACTCTGGAGATGACACATTACCGACAGTCTTGAGTCTGGATATGATACATTACAGACAGCCTTGAGTCTGGAGATGACACATTACAGACAGCCTTGAGTCTAAAGATGACACATTACAGACAGCCTTGAGTCTGGAGATGACACATAACAGACAGCCTTGTTTCCAGGCATGACACATTACAGACAGCCTTGAGTCTGGAGATGACACATTACAGACAGCCTTGTGTCTGGAGATTTCATATTATTGACTGAATGTCACAGATGCCAACTGCACACTTGTTTAATAAATGAAACTGCTTATTCCTTTCTTAGCTATCGTATGTTACATTACAATTCTCCATATGTAGGGAGTCTAAACATATTTGCCTTGATTCTGTGTATTTTCAGGTCACATCGTTAATCACAAATGGGAAAATGCCATGACCATAGACAGTCAGTCATGGGGTTTCCGTAGAAACACAGTTCTCAGTGATATTTTGCCTATAGAACAATTGCTAGAACAACTGGTATCCACGATCAGGTATGTTAATGTTCATGAGCTGTTTTATAAGCTAAAGTAAGAGTGCTAGCCATTGTGATGTTACTGTGGCTGCCCAACTGACTTTAGTAACAATAAGTGAGGTGAACTTTGTCAAGTCTGATGTTCATAAGCTGTTTTATAAGCTAAAGTAAGTATACTAGCCATTGTAGTGTTACTGTGGCTGCTCAATAAGGAAACAGCAATCAACAATATGGAAAGGACTTGGAGAGCTGCAGGAAATTGTATAAGTTGGGATGGCTTGAGATGAGTTGGTTGAGGATGTTGTTCCATTGGGCACAAATTGTTTTCATTAGAGATAATCCTTGTCTACAGATACCACTAGTAACTGAGCCATTAACTCTTAGCTATACAAGAAAATGTAAGCTGTAGAAATGGGAATATACTGACAGTTTAGGTTATATAATATGGAATCACAAGCAATTGTAGAGGCTGTGTAGAAACTGGAATGAAAAACAAGCTGGTGGATGACAGTTTATAAAGTAAATTATATCACAGCTGCTGCACAAATGAAAGGCATTCCACATAAAAAACACAGCTCACAGGGCTGTACCAAGCACTCAACTCAGTAACTCAGGCACTGAAACCATAGGCTACCGTCCATGTGTGGAAACTGCATTAGCAAAGTGCTGTTGGAAGCAAAAATGTTTTCGAAGCTAATCATTCTGCCATGCCTAATCCTCAGTTTTAAACCGGAAGTGTCCACTACTTTATCTTCCGAGAAACTGACAGTAACACCTCTGACCACTTCTCTGTGTGTAGTATCTTGGGTTTCATTTTCCATCAGAGGGATATTACGACTTCTGCTGATGTAGACTGAGCAGGGAAGACTAGCTGAACTTCCCCTTTAGCATTTTCTGATGAAAGGTAAAATGTTTGAGAACACATCACACAATGGCTTGAATTCACATGGATAATCCAGTTACACATTACATTTAGCAAGAGGCTTAAAAAAAAAAAGTTAAATTGTCAACAATTTGTATTAATACCAAAATAACACATCATTTACAGCTGCAATGGAAATGTGCTGCTGAATGTTGGTCCGACTAAGGATGGCATCATCACTCCCATCTATCAGGAGCGTCTTTTGCAAATGGGTTCATGGCTGAAAGTCAATGGGGAAGCCATCTATGGCACTAAACCATGGATTTATCAGAATGACACCGTCACTATCAATGTCTGGTGAGTCACTGTGCATTGTTTCTGTCATCTGTATGGTAAATGTAATGCTTGTTGTGTGTATCACTGTGCATTGCTTCTGTCATCTGTATGGTAAATGTAATGCTTGTTGTGTGTATCACTGTGCATTGTTTCTGTCATCTGTATGGTAAATGTAGTGCTTGTTGTGTGTATCACTGTGCATTGCTTCTGTCATCTGTATGGTAAATGTAGTGCTTGTTGTGTGTGTATCACTGTGCATTGCTTCTGTCATCTGCATGGTAAATGTAGTGCTTGTTGTGTGTATCACTGTGCATTGCTTCTGTCATCTGTATGGTAAATGTAGTGCTTGTTGTGTGTATTACTGTGCATTGCTTCTGTCATCTGCATGGTAAATGTAGTGCTTGTTGTGTGAATTACTGAATAATGTCATTACCTCTCAAGAGAGGTTCAGTGAATCATATTCAAAGGACAGGGCATAGCAGATTGTGCCAATATATGTCATTTTTTTCAGTGTAGGAAACAAGAAGATGTATTTTTTGCAACTTGGCACCAGAAAACGTTGATCATGTACTTGAACACTGTAGACTATGCTAGCAGCAGAGAGGCCATCTGGCGGCCTGTTTCAACTTTTAAAAAAAAAGGCTGTATGGCACACACAGAGATTTGGACTGCATGATAGCTTTCATCGAAGCTACTGATCGCTTTCTTTGAGGCTACTGGCCTCCTGATATAAGATTTTTCTGACAGAAGGGTCCAAGAAGAAATAGAAGACTGATGTATATCACTGAATAATATTGTATATCACTGAATAATATTGTATATCACTGAATAATATTGTATATCACTGAATGATATTTTATATCACTGAATAATATTGTATAACACTGAATAAATTGTATATCACTGAATAATGCTGTGCAGTGGTTACTAATTACATGTAAGGTATATTTCCACTCCTTGATGTGTATTGATCATACAATGCTGGCCTCATATTTTTATAGACCAATTATCCCTTGATGGGTGATAATAAAATTAAAGCTTTTAAACTGAAAAGTTGCAGAAACATTCTTAGAATACCATGGGCCAAGAAAAAGAAAAATACAAACAACCTGCATGATCTGAACAATGAGGAGAACTGGCTCATAAACAACATTCTATCCTGAAAGCTCAGATATATTGGCCATACTAAACGTTAGAGTGGCCTGGAAAAAATGGTGATGGAGGGTACAGTTTCTGGAAGAAGAGGCAGAGGCTGACCTCCATGTAGGTGGATACAAGACAGTAAAGATGGTTAGGTAACTGGCAGGAGAAAGAGACTCTCAGGCGTGATGTGATGAGAGTGATATTCGTTAAAGGACCTACAGTTCAGTGATGATGGGTGATATGATCAGTATCACATCAGCCACCTTTACTTCCCTGGACACTTATTGGATTCTCAGCCACAGTTATTTTGGCCACACCATCCTGTCTTGTTATTAGCTGTGAATCCTTTATTGTGGTTATAGATACATCAGAGCACACCACTGTTTCTGTCTTGAGTTGGTCTTGACTGTTTGCTGGCTGACATTGTGATTGCTGAATGAAGCAGCTCATCAGACAAGGATAAACAGAAGTAAGAAACTGCTGTCATGGTAACATGAAACCATGGAAGAAGGTGATGGATTCAGTTTGAGAGCAGTCAGCAGATAGTTGTTAGTCATGGTCTGATTCCTGTTGCCTGGAAAAGCTGCCAAACAAACATTTATGGTTTGGTCTAATTGCCTGTCAGTGTCACTTTTCTGACTTTTCTATATTGTGTTTACAAGATACATAGTTAATGCTGTTGGCTGAGCTCTCACCTGCACAAACATTTAGGAGGTCAAGATATGAATATATTAGCTAAAAATGTCATTAAGGAGTGTGTGTTTTTTATATGCCAAACAGCCTCTCTAAAACCTGCTCGGCAGGTTAAGATTTTTATTTTGTCATTTGCAGAAAAAAAAATTACCATCCTTGTAAAATCATCATAATGCGACTTGAAAAAGGAGTAGATAAATGCCTACGAGTGGAACAAGCAGGATTCAGAAAGGGCAGAGGAACAACTGAGCACATCTTCGCCATACGTAACATTTTAGAACAATGCAACGAATGGCAGAGAAGTATATATATTAATTTTGTGGACTTTGAGAAAGCTTTTGACAGCGTCCATAGAGACGGTCTGTGGAAAATTTTACGACATTATGGAATTCCAGAAAAAATAGTCAACATAATTGCTCTCTTCTATAAAGACTTTTCCTGCAGTATAAAAAATTACAATACATCTTTCCCAGTTAAGATGGGTGTAAGACAGGGATGTGTTATGTCATCTCTCCTCTTCAACCTTGTGATTGATTGGATACTAAAGAACACAGTAGACAGAACATTAAGAGGCATACGATGGACTCCATTCACCATGCTTGTGGACCTTGATTTTGCAGATGATATAGCACTCCTATCACATAAACATGAACATATACAAGAGAAAAGTAACAGGCTACACTGCACACCAGAAATGGTGGGACTGAGAATAAAAACAAAGAAAACTAAGATCATGACAAACAGTCCAAACCAACAACCAGTGACCATAAGTTACCAATCACTTGAAAATGTAGAACATTTCACATATCTTGGCAGTGTGGTGTCCCTACTGGGAGGGACAGAGGAAGACATACAGTCACGCCTGAACAAAGCTAGAGCTGCTTTTGGAAGGATGAGGCAAATCTGGAAATCCAACAATTACTGCAGAGGAACAAACTCCGACTCTACAAGAGCATCATTTTGCCAGTTCTTCTTTATGGAGCAGAATGCTGGAGAATGACCAAAAAGGATGCACACAAGCTGTCCACCTTCCACCACACATGTCTACGTAGAATTATCAAAATTTTCTGGCCAGATACAATCTCAAACACTAAACTACTTCAAGCCACAAACCAAAAAACTTTAGACAGTATGATTACCAAGAGAAGATGGAAATGACTTGGCCACGTTATGAGAATGACTTCTCATATACCTGCCAAAACAGCTCTCACATGGACACCAGAGGAAAAGAGAAAACAGGGGCGCCCAAAAACAACATTGAGACGAACGATGGAAAGTGACCTGAGTGCGGCATCTTTGACATGGAAAACTGCACTGAAGATTGCACAAGACAGGAAAGCATGGAAAGTCCTCTCTGAAGCCTCATGTGCCACTAGGCATAATGAGAACTGATGGTGATGAGAACCCAGTGCTTTAGGCATTTAGCTTGGGACCCCTCTATGTATAACAAACATAGAAAAAAATTAATAGGAGGCTGAGCAGGAGACTAGACTACATTTAGTCCCAGGACTATGTATCCTAAGCATAAACTGATTTTAAAATAATAGCTTAAAAGTTAACAAATAAATCAGTACTTTAAATGAACTTCTTAAATATTATACTCAATGGATTAACAGTCAACATAAGTCTGTATCTTTTTATAATTATTGTTATATATTTTTAACACTATTTTATTTCATTGCCAGGTATACTCTTAACAACAAAACAAACCCTCCAGTTGTGTATGCAACTTTATTTGCCTGGCCAAATGCAAATATTTTAAAACTGGGAGCACCTGTGACAACTCCAAATACAGCAGTTTCTCTTGTTGGATACAAGGGATCCCCTTTTTCCTGGACAGCTAGCCCAGGTCAAGGACTGAGTATCATCATGCCAAACATCAATCCAAATGATTTGCCAAGTCAGTGGGCATGGGTGCTTAAACTTACCAATCTTACCTTCTAAGAGGAAAGATTTATGGTAGTAGAGCTTTATTTTGTTATTTTTATAAGACATGAGAGACAGGAAATTTGTGGTTATTCATGTCATTTTCTTATTTTCTTAAAGAGAAGTTTTGCAGATAATTATGGTCCATAAACAGTCCAGTTTAGTTTCTGAGAGAGAGAGAGAGAGAGAGAGAGACAGACAGACAGACAGACAGACAGACAGAGAGAGACAGACAGACAGACAGACAGAGAGAGAGGGGGGGGGCATGGCATGCAAACAAACTAAAGTTGTCTTTTTTTTTCTGTTTTAGGCACAACATTAAGGGGACTGAAACAATCCAGTTAAACTTAGCTTGCAGAATGTTGTTTAAACTATCCAGTTTTATTTCCTGAAAGAGGATAATTATAGTGCTATGCAAATTTTTCTGTGATCAGGGAGTTATATTTTAAGATATTCCATTTTTTTTTCAGTGGAAGAGAGCCAGGTGTACACATTTATATTTATTTTCTAAATAGATAAACTACTGAAAATTGTAAATTTTTTGAATGAGTATGCAAACAGCTGAGAAGGAAAAATGAGAAGCAACATTCCTGATCTATTTAAATCACTACTAATTACTCGCATCGAGGGGGCTAACAGATTGCAGGAGTTGGTGCATACTGAGAGAATGGTAGATAACAGATAGGCACAGATTGTATACATAAAACACTTGTTTGGAAGTAGACTGTGAGGCAGACCAAAAAGATGATGAAGAGATAATATACAGTCAGGTCTACAAACACTTAGAGTGACAAGGTGGAAGGAGAAGGCAAATTACAGAGAAAGAATGGAGGCAGGTGATATTACAGCAATGAACCTTGAGGGCTTGCAATGCCAAAGAAGTAGAAGAAGAAAATATTTTTAGTAATATCTTCAATAAGGAAAATAATAAATATCATATCATCCAGTAATTTGTATGTCTTTAACTGCTACCATTGTTTCTGTTTGTTAAGCATATGCTGCATTAGTTTGTCTTCAGTTTGTTTGACTCTCAAATACTGTCATTTGCAAAAGTAAAAGGGCTCTTCTCGTGCTATAAATGCATCATCGTAAAAGGTGTTGGTCCCATATTTTTGTCAAACACCAAATGACTCCTAGTAAAGGATGTGGTCAGTATTATTTCAGTGCCTTTACTTTCCAGAACGTTTTCCTGGTACGGATTTTGGAGCTTAGGTAAATTTTTATTTAAAGTCTGCTTTGATATGGTTATGAACCCTCTATGACTGGACCAGCAGGCAGGCATGTTAGCCACTTTGCCACCTTAGCTCCTCACATCTTTGGAATCTACTTTGGAAAGTTGGAAGCTCGTTTCTTTGATCCATGTACAATTTTGCTTGAGCTGGGTTGAAAATGTCCACATCATAACGTTATGCCTCTCATGAAACTGAGTTTTAGTAAATGTGTTTTTATCAAGTGATTTCATTGTGTACCAGTTTTGTTTAACTAATTTTTTTTTGGGGTCCACAGACAAAGTGCATTTATTAACCCTGTGGTTTACTTTATCTGACTGCATTCATTATCATATCTTTCCATAAACATGTCAGCAGCTATGGATACACAGCCTCAGTATTAATTGAAGAAAAATATTTTCTTTATTTTCTTTGAAGCTTCCTTTCTGCCCTAGAAGGTAGAAAAACATAAGACTGTAATGCATTTTATCTTTTCTCCGTTACCTATTACATAAGTGTGGACCAAAGTATATCAAATATTACACACACAACATATGAATACATCTCTTTGATTGTTATCATCAGGGCAAGCAAGTAGATAGTATATACTGTTGCTATCTTTAGGTCTGATAAGGAAATGTTGTATATACAATATTTTCTTTGTAATGACATAGTAATTGACAAAGCCATATTTTTCAATATATATTTGTGTAACAATAACAAAGCTTCACACAAAAAAAGATCAGGAAAAATTATGTTTTTAACCCTTTCACCCCAGGAACACTACCCAAAAAAATCTGACTAGAGACAAACTGGAAAAGTGACATTTATGTGGAACTGGACCCAGCAGGAAGTGTCAGGTTTTTCTTCCTGAGGCAAAAGGCCCATAACTGTGCCTCGGACAGATGTGCTGTGTATTTTATATCTGACACAAGTTATATCAGTTGGGTCATATGATTGTGTAATATTTAGTTTTCATTTTATATTGATTCAATATAACAATAACTGGAAAGCTCACGGGTAGTGAGCATACTTTAGATGGTGTGGTGGGTAATGAACAGGCAGATTGGCTGGATCTGCACCACTGGGTGGTGAATTGATACATGACAAGGCAGATGTGGTCAAGGTCCTTTCGGAACAAACAATGGAATCAGTAGAGAATGAAGATTATTTTGGTCTGAAAAGATTGAGGCACCTGGGTGTAACCAGAGGGTCTGGCCGGCTGACTACATTCAGAGGAAAGGCAAGACGGACATTTAACCAGATTGTGACCGGTATCATCAGTATTGGAACTCTGCGCTGGCTGCTGAAGATGAGGACAGAGCATGCATGAGAATGCCCTGAGTGCTGTGATGTCAATTCTTGAATCAACTCAACTCAACTCAATGAACTAAGTCTCAACAGAAGAAGCTGAACAAGAATTCAATAAATAAATCGAACAGTGATAGATTTTTCATGCTTTATTTTGATTAAACAAGAATGTTATGTTTCCCTAAATAAATCGAACAGTGATAGATTTTTCATGCTAGTTGTTTTTGCAGTGGTGGATGTAATGACGTGTGGCTTCAACAATCATGTTATCACAATCCACGAAATTGAAAGCCTCACAGTGTTTAGTCTGTGGTGTGGCACTGATGATGTCTCTCCTGTCCATAGAGAGCCAATTCCTGACAGTCGCACTGCCAGTCAGGGCGTCTGGCTCTCTCATCGCCTTTTAAATGATGTATCAGATGGAGCCACAGTTTCCGTATTTGCCCTTGATCTTTAGTAGCATGTTCATTGAGTCACTGAGAAAGCTTGCATTGGTGGATTCTTTAGTTTTCAGACATTCTAGGGCCCTTGTCAAAGCCATGGTTATTGTCATGCTGCAGGTGGTAGAAGCAAAGCTCCATTGTCTTCTTTGATGACATTTCCTTTAGTTCCTGTCATGAAACCACAAGCACTATGCTTCTGAGAATCACAAAACCATCAGCAAATAAAACTCCATTTGCCGGTGATGTGTATTTCTCCACCAATGCTTTCGGTTCTGCATCAACTATTGGTCGCGCCAAATCACGGCACTATCTCATCAAGGTGATAACCAAAACAAAGTACTGCTTGTATTCGTTTGGTATGAGTATCTATTTCTCTTCATGGCTTATGTTTTGAAGAGAAATCACCCGTTGAAGTACTGTCTCTGCACGGCCCAACCAAGACTGGCGTTAAGTCTGTCGCCTTTACCTGAATTCAGTTCATCGTGCAGTGGGTCTGTACAGACCTCGGTGATTATGAGGTAGGCTCACGCTTGGTGCATTTCAAGTCAGCTGTTTATATCTGGAAGATCTAGTAGGTATCTCATCGCTCTACATGATGTGTCTTTTGTGCAGCCAAGTATGATGCTCATTAATTTATTGTGTACTCTTTCCAGTCTGTGGATTTGTGTCTCGCTGGGTGTGAGGATTGCCAGTGCATATTCTGTGACAGAGAGGATTAAACCCTGTAGAGTGTAGAGGATGACTTAACAGCAGATGCACATCAAATTTTATGACTACGAATACGTTTGTTGAAAAGGCAGTGGGTCTATTCTTGTTTTCCTTACAGTGGGGCGCCTGAACCCACGCGGGATAATAGCATATAAGTCTTAGTTTCTTCGTGCACATTTCCTCTTCAATAAAAGTTTGAAATCCTTTGTCCTAAGGAACGCGTCATACGTTCAGTTTCCTATCTGTTTGCCAAATGAACGCAAGACCCGTCGATTTTAGTCTCTACTACCCCTTGGGCCTCTAATGCTACCCCCTGCCCCCCCCCCCACTCTTTTTCGTGACTGAAATGTAGCTGTCTTCATTCTGTATATTCCTGGAGCAGTTAAATTGTCAAAATTTCTTAACACTTTACACGCACACACACGGCTAAACCGTGAACTAATGTAACCTCCGAATTTCTCTTCTTTTTTTTCCCCTTCAAATCTGGCCCGCGAGCTTTCTTACACGCTTTTCCTCTGAGGTAGTGTCAGTGTTCCCTCCCTGCTGAACCATTTCTCCAAACCGTATTTGTACTTTTATAATTTACTTTCTCTTAGAAGGTTTGGAGAGAGGGTTTGTGAGTACAGGCACCTGTTGTGTAGAATCTTTGTGGTGAGTACAGGCACCTTTTGTTTATAATCTTTGTGGTGAGTACAGGTACCTTTTGTGTAGAATCTTTGTGGTGAGTACAGGCACCTTTTGTTTATAATCTTTGTGGTGAGTACAGGTACCTTTTGTGTAGAATCTTTGTGGTGAGTACAGGCACCTTTTGTTTATAATCTTTGTGGTGAGTACAGGCACCTTTTGTTTAGAATCTTTGTGGTGAGTACAGGCACCTTTTGTTTAGAATCTTTGTGGTGAGTACAGGCACCTTTTGTGTAGAATCTTTGTGGTGAGTACAGGCACCTTTTGTTTAGAATCTTTGCGGTGAGTACGTGCACCTTTTGTTTAGAATCTTTGTGGTGAGTACAGGTACCTTTTGTGTAGAATCTTTGTGGTGAGTACAGGCACCTTTTGTTTATAATCTTTGTGGTGAGTACAGGCACCTTTTGTGTAGAATCTTTGTGGTGAGTACAGGCACCTTTTGTTTAGAATCTTTGTGGTGAGTACAGGCACCTTTTGTTTAGAATCTTTGTGGTGAGTACAGGCACCTTTTGTGTAGAATCTTTGTGGTGAGTACAGGCACCTTTTGTTTAGAATCTTTGCGGTGAGTACGTGCACCTTTTGTTTAGAATCTTTGTGGTGAGTACAGGCACCTTTTGTTTAGAATCTTTGTGGTGAGTACCGGCACCTTTTGTTTAGAATCTTTGTGGTGAGTACCGGCACCTTTTGTTTAGAATCTTTGTGGTGAGTACTGGCAGTTTTTATTTTATTTTAGAAACGTTATGGTGAGTATCTATACCATGATGTGTCTATGGTTGAAGCAGCCAGGAGCTATTCTCCGAATAACGGTCCCAAATTATCGAGGCCGAAAATATACTCTAACAGGGCCTGTCACATGTAAATTGCGGATCTCTTTCGAGCGACTACACAGCATACTGAGGAAAAGCTTTCGCCGAGTTAAAGTCACCGAAGATGTATCTTCCGCGCCGCTATGCGGAAGCAGTAAAAGAGGACGTAAAGAAGAAAAAGAAAAATCATAAAAAGAATGGTGAGTATCTGCATTTTTTTAATAGGAAAAAAAAAATCCGAATAATGGGAGGTCTTTGAGGTTCCTTACATGTCGACGACAAGAAGAGGTCAAATGTATTTTATGCGATTGTCCCGGTAAATATTTGAAACTTTTTATTCTTACCCCAGCTACTTCCTGTCTGTTTAGTCTTCAAATAAACCGTGCGGTTTGAAACGTAGTACTAGTTACCTACTAGTAGTAATTACCACAGGAATCAGGACCGAAATACAACCTGTGAAAATTGACCCAGCTACAGTATAATAATATAGTTTCTGTTGCTAGAGTTTTGCTTTTGAAATATTTCGGAATTCATGGAGGGCAACCCATTCCCAGATACAATCATTGCCGACTGGAGATTCTTGGATGCTTCGCCCAGAAGCCACTGCCGCAAGTGCAGCAAGTCAAGGAAATACTACTGCTACTCATGCTGTGTCCCACTTCCTCACCTGGAATCAGGTTTACCAAAGGTTAAGGTAGGAAGGAAAATCTAGAAACTATTAATTTAATATCCTTTACGTAATTCCCCAGTGCCACTGAAGTGTACCGAGAACCCGGCCACAGTTGTGAGTTGTTCTCTCCTCTGTACTAAACTAAACTCTTGTTTTGAGCTTTTTATTTAAAGGACTGAGAAGTCAGAAGGGGTACTTATTAGTTATTCTGTCCTCTTGGGCAGAGGTCATAGATGTCCATGTCTAGCAGTTCGTTGCCACCTGCTTTATGTCTTGGATGTTTGGGCTTTCCCATATGATCATTGATGGTTCTGTGACTTCCAGATGTTTGTCAGTTTGTTAAAAGCACTAGATGCCAGTGCCATTCTAGAGGACATTTCTGGCACTGAGCCCTGTATAGGCCTATAGATGTCATCTTACTTCTTAGCTATGTTAATGTAAAGCCAGTAAAACTTAAAACTGTTTACTTTTTTAAACTTTTCACAAATGTGATCGTTTAGTTTGATGTCTTCTGAATTTTTTATTGGTTAGAATTATTGGCTCTCCTCCTAACTTTGTCTCCATATTATGGCTGCCAAACAAATACCCTAACAGGGCCTTAGTCGTGTGTAAAATGTGGACTTCCTTCGACGAACATATCGCGGCAAAACTAGGATTAATGTCCGTAGACAAATTCGGGAAACTTACCGCTTATCCCCCCGCCACTTCACTACGCATGGCGCCGATGGGGAGCTAAACTAGATGACTGGGACTCATGAGCAGCAGCTATTGCATCTCCTGCAGCTTCCTCCAATTTATTTGCTTGTAAGTCCCAGCCATCTAGTTCAGCCCCCTCATCCGCGCCACGTGTAGTGGCGCGAGTGATACTGTCGGCGGTGGGGTGTAGTCGCCAGAAAGAGATCCGCAGTTAACACCCTGTTGGAGTGTTTGTTTGCCCTCAATATTATTGGCCTGTTATTCGGAGGCAACCCTAGTTTTGCTGTGATTTGTTCCTCCGCAGGCACTCCACACTTTACACACGACTGAGGCCCTGTTAGGGTATTTGTTTGGCCACCATAATGTGGGGACGAAGTTTGGGGGAGCACGGAATTGTTAGATCATTAATTTTTGTTTTTGCTATGGTAATTTAGATTCTGATTTGTCCTGAAACATTTTGGAGGTGGTTGTTTTCTCTCAGATATCTGGTGTGCGTTGAACTCAAAAGCACTATGTCGTCAGCAAAGTTAAGATCTAGAATTTGTTCAACCCATTTGATGCCTATATTTCTGTTATTTGTGCTTTTGCGCATGACCAAATTGAATGCTATTCCGAAAAGCATCAGTGATAGGACTAAGCCTTGTTTAATTCCTGTTTCCACTGGGGACCAGTCAGGATTGCCGGATTCTGTTCTTACACTGCAGCTTGTTTCATTGTAGAAGGATTTTATGACACTAATAAATTTGGTTGGGAAACCATAGATTTTAAATAGTTTCCAAAGTGTAGGACGGTGGGTACTGTCAAAAGCTTTTTAAAAGTCGACAAGGTTGATGATAAACTGTGACTGAAATTCTATGGATTCTTCAGTAATTACTGTGATGGTGAAGATGTGGTCTACACATAACCGTTTTGGTCTGAAAGCTCTTGTTCTTCTCATAGCCTTTGATCTATAGAATTTTCAATCTCTCAAGTAACAAGCTACAAAAAGATTTCCTTTCACAACAAGCAGGGTAATATCATGCTAGTTATTACAATCAGACAGATCACCTTTTTTAGGCAGTTTGAAAATTACTCCTTTTGCTATGGTGGGAATCTGTTTTGCCAGATTTTGTTAATCAGCTGTAGCAAACAATGCATGCAAGGTATTCTCTTCCGCTGCTTTAAAAATTTCTCCTGAGATGTCGTCATCACCAACAACTTTGTTGTTTCTCAGTTTTGTAACAGCTGATTTTATCTCTCTCACTGTGAATGTTGCTTCTAGTGGGGGCATGGTAACTCCTTCATCCAGATTGGGAACAATGTCAGACTGTGGTCTACCTAATATTTCTTTGAAATGTTCTACCCATCACTGCTTTTGCTGGTCTTCACATAACAGTTGTTTACCTAGTTTGTCTTTGATGGATGTTTTCAGTGCAGGTGTGTGATTATATAGTTGTTTTATAGTATGGAATACAGCTTTGTTGCTTCCAGTTTTGGCAGCTGTTACAGCATCGGGAACCAGGCTGTGAATGAAGTTCTGTTGATCTTTTGGTGCGCTTGATTTCACCTCTTTATCCAACATGGTTTATTTATTTTTTTGGGGTGAGATTCATACGAAGATGTGTCTTTTGTGAAAAGGAGTATTAATTTTGCTTGTTTTCTTTTTCGTATCTTTGTCCAGGTGTTATCGCTTAGCCACTTCTTCTGTCTTTGTTCATAGCCTACTGTGTTGGTTGCAGCATATAAGCTGAACAAGGATATTCTAAGAGAGGATAAAGACATCCAGGAGCAATATAGTGTGTTTGTGAGGAACAGGTATGTGCAATACCAAAAATAAAAAAGATCAATGGGAAATGCTGAAAGACTCCATCCACCAAGAAGCAAAGAGATTTTTACCAGAAAGAAGACAAAAAGCTTAACAGAAATGGTTGACTGAAGGAATTTTAAAGTTAATGGGTGACAGAAAACAATTTATGAATGACACACAAAAAAAAATGACAAGATAAATAAAGAAATAAGGCATAAGTTTATGAAGGCAAAAGAAAATTGGTTAAATGAACAATGCAGTACAATTGAACACAGTCCTATTAAAGATGCAAAAAAGTGTGCACACACAAATCAGCGATCTAACTGGAAGAAAGATAAGAGTAAACACAGGATGTCAGCAATCAAAAGCAGGAGAGATCTTAATGGAGGAAGATGATATAACAATCAGAATAATTAAAAACATTTACTGGAACCAAGTAGCTGCAATGAAAGTTGAAAAAAGATTTGGTACTTTTGAACAGATAAAGCAAGGAGTAAGACAGAGATGTGTCTTAACCCCAGACCTTTTCTCTCTATATAGTGAAGTAATATTGAGAGAAATTAAAGAAAAAGCAGGAATAAGAGTTGGAGGATACAATATAAACAATTTGCCTTATGCAAACAATACAGTTTTGCTAAAAAAAATGCATCTGATTTACAACTGTTGGATATTGTGGGGATGGAGAGAGCTAAGAAAGGACTTTCCTTGATTCTTAAGAAACAGAAGTAATGGTTATATCAAAGAAGAAGATAATTCCACGTTGTGATATCTCAGTTGGAGAAAAAAGACTTAACCAAGTCAATAAATTCAAATATCTGGGAACAGTCATATTATCAGATGGAAAATGTGGGACAGAGATTAAAAGCAGAATAGGTCGAGTGAAGGCAGCATTTCAGAAAATGGAAAACATCTTAAGAAAAAAAAATGTTACATAAAACCTACTCTTGCTGTATGGCAGCGAATCTTGGAATGTTGGTGAACAAATTAAGAAGGATTTGGATGCAGTAGAGATGTGGTTTCTGATACGAATGTTACGAATACCTTGGATGGCCAGAGTAACTAACAATGATTGTTTGAAAGAAGCTAATAAAAGTAACTCTCTGTATACAAAAATAAGGAGACAAACACTGTTCTTTGGCTAATTAATGAGAAAAGAGGCATTGGAAAATATAGTGACAACTGGAAAGATCAGTGGAAAGAAGGTTAGAGGCAGACCAAGAGAGATGCTGCTGAATGGTCTGAAACGATGGCATGGAGGAATATCATAAAGAGAGCTGTTCCAGGCAACTAGGGATCGTGATCTGTGGAGATGCATGAGTTGGCAGGGCACATAGTGATGATGATGAAACTGCATGATCTATCAGATTAGCAGAACTCAATTGTAGTATTCCTACTTGTCAGTCTTAATATTCAGTTTACTGTAAATTTTACTAAATATTTTTAATTTTTCTTGTGATATTTTCCATATATATATAGAGTAATTTTTATGAAAGGATTGGGTGTGACTAAAGAATGGCAGAAAATTTTAAGCTAAATCTATATGATTTGGAGACATAGAAATGGTCAGCTTTATACCGTCAGATGTAGCATAGGGACATGGAAATTGTAGACTACTAATTATTGCTGTTACTCTTGTTGTGCTCCTGTCTCACATCTGGATTTTGTGACATTCAATCATGGAAGGTAGATCATCTGACGTAACCTTTGTCTGTCTGTGAGTTGAAAAAGTTAGTATCCTCTACAGGATGTTGCAGAACCAACCCCAGCATTATTTTGCTCTTGTGGTGTTTCTAGGCAAATTTTATGTTCAGTAGTTTGCCATTGCTTACTGAACGGTTGGCTCTAGAAACCGACCCATAGCAAAAAATCGTCTGCAGCTGGGATCGAACCTGGCATTACGAAGCGCTTTGCAACACCTAAGCCACGACACCAACTGTGAGTAGATAAATATATTGAGTATGGCTGTTAATTTTACTTTTTCTGTCTATCAGCAAATGCCAGGAAGAAGAATTATGTGCATATATCAGAGCTCTGCTGTAAACAGACACAACACAACTACATGTAATAATAAAAAAAAACGTTGGATGAACACAGAAGATATCTAATGTCACCCAGTTAGCTTGGCTTCCCTATTTCGGGAATCACATTGTTTGCCTTTGCTAACAAAGGATATTTGTTATTTTGTTTGCACAAATAGATTTTATCAGCACAGTTTCTCTCTCTGCTGGATTTTGGTATGTTGTTTTTCTTTCTGCCAGCTTCCTGTGAAGGTTGACATCATTAAGCATCCGAGTGAGACTGATGGCAAAAGTACGGCTCCACATGCAGTCATTCTGGCACCAGAAGATGTTGCTATTCATACATATCCTTGTATACCTGACTATGATCCCAGAAAGGTGCAGTGTATTGTGTCTCTAAATTAAGTAGATATTTTACTAGAAAATTATATTTGTGAATATCCAAACAGTTTCTGTGTTTTGTAGAAATTATTTAAATTTTGTTGCTGAGGGTAATTCTTGTTTGAAACTGCATGAAGCCATAGGTTATCCCTAGTAATATATCATGAAAGTGTTTTTTGGGAAGACTAAAGTTCTAAGCAGTTAAACATATAGGCATTGTGCTGAGTGACTACAATGAAAGCATGTGACAGACACCATATACTGCTTTGGTCACAGTTTTGTGTTAACAAAAGTAATTGTTTGCATTGTCCTGTTGGTGAAGTGTCAACAAACATGATTAGCATTCTGTGTGGTCCCATAGGTTTTGTCCTAGGCTAAGTCGTGCCATGTAAAAACAGTGTGGGGTCTCTATGGCTGAGTTGTTCAATCGTTGTCTTGTATTCTGAAGATCGTGGATTTATGTCATAGTCTATGTCGTTAAGTTCATGAGTGCAGATTTTACAGTGATCCCTAAAGATAGTCGCTAGGGCTATGGAGTTTGTGCTTTATGTGATGCTTTTGGCCGGAAACCAGCTGTTCTGTGGAGATACTCAGTCATAAGGGAAATAACCCAGAGGAAAAAACATCAAAACCACACAGATCTTTTGACTCAAATTTGAATGTGACAATTTGCTGCATGGATGTCAGTACTTGACAGTAAAACTATGGAGAAACTAGAGGCAGTGGAGTTGTGGACATCTCCTTCTTCAGCCTTGTATCCCCTGTTTAAACACAGACCAAGCTGTCCTCTTGTGTGGCATCATCTGCATCTCTCTTCCTGTGCAACCTATTTTGTTTCATCTCTCTCTTATTTTCTTCTTTCTGTGTTTCTTGAACTCTTCACACTGCTGTGTGGATTCCAATGCAAAAAAATCCTCAATATGTTTTATCAGGTTTTAGTGTGTCCAGTCTAGTGTCAGTGTCTTTTCTTCGCTTCATTTATATGGATTTTTGTAAATGACTTATCTTCCTAAATGCCACAATAGCAATTCTGTTTATAATTTTCCATATCTGCACAGGCGATGTTTAAAGGTTATTTACTGTGCATTAATGATTGTTTTAGGTCACTAACTGGTAATCTGTTCAGATATAGTTATTTAATTGCTATAAATTTTTTTTACCCAATAATGAACAGGTTGTGCTTGTCTTCCCTGGTGAGCATTCTCTCAGTCTAGAAGACCTGACAGCAGATTGTTCTGAAAGAAACGGCAAAGGTTCATCACATGACACAATTATCAGGAACACAGTTGGTCCTGATGGGTTAACTACAACAGATCCTGGGTCTGGTGCAGTGAATGGCAAACCATGCAGTAACAGTCAACAGTCTGGCACGACAGATGCTGAATTGTTGGTTCCAGCAGATGGTGACAAACTGAGCATACTTGATGAGCATAAAGAGGACACAGTTTCTGAAGCTAAGACCTCTGATAGTGGTGATGCTGCAGATGATCAGCTGCATAAAAGATCACTGGCTGACATGACTTCATCTGGTGATGGTGAGGAAACACTAGAGCTGCCATCTAAGAAGTTCAAGATGTCACCGAACCTTCCGTTTGAAAAAGTTGTGTTTATTGATGCAACATGGAACCAAACACATAATATCATCAATGATGAGAGACTGAAGAGTGAGTACTGTCATATACTACTACTACTTCTTTAGTGTTCCATTGCTGCAGATATCATCTGCCTCTATTTGTCTTTGTGATCTACAGCCATTCAGCTTGTTATGTTCTGTTAACAAAGTTAAGGCAGCAGTTATTTTCAAGGCATAATCACTTAGGTACATGATGCACCAAATCATGTTATTGTTTTTATTTCAAAAGTATTGGTAGGTTGCCACTCTAGTGAAGGTGCATGATCTCTGTTGATGTTTCATAAACTCTCGGGGCCAGGTTGTACATTCATTTGATGACCATACTGGCTTTCCCTGGTATGGGGAGAGAGGGGTAGGTTCAAGATCTTTGTCAGTTTGTTTCAAATAGTTTCAGGCAGTGCTTTTCCTTTACCATTGGATTCCAGGACACAAATTTATGTGGTCCCATGTCCTCTAGGGCAACCAGTGTGTTGGGAAATGAACAGGCGGACAGACTGGCTGGCTCTGCACAGCTTGGTGGAATATTGATGCGTGATAAGGCAGACATTAAGGCCATATATGAGAGCATGTACCATTCGAAGGAGCAAGTGGATAACCAGTCTAGTGAGTGATGCAGCGGGGAGTGAGGAGGGGTTCTATCCAATGCTTGACTCTCCGAGGAAAGGCAAGGCAAACATTTAATCAGAATGCTACTGGCATCGTTAGTATTGAAACTCTGCACTGGCTGCTGAAGATGGGGACAGAGCGCTAACGGGAATGCCTTGAGTGCTGTGTTGTAGGTTCTTGAATCAGCTCAACTCATGTCTTCATTGTAGCCAGTCCCAGTAATCTCACCCAATTATTCACTGGATTGGATATCACGTCATCTGCATTCTGTTCTAGCCAGGCAGATATGCATTGTTAATAAATTATTTTCCCCGTCTGGGTTCTGGGGCCCTATTGTAGGGGGAAAACAAGAACAGACCCACTGCCTCCCCAAAAGCATGTTAAAAGAGTCGACTGATTGGGAGCTTCCTTCGAAGTCAGAGTACATCTGTCTGAGAGGCAAGGAACCACCAGTCTGCATTCAGATGAGTCAGATCTGTGAAACGGATGTGCACGCAACACTCAGTTTGTGGAACAGGACTAGAACCCAGAAGTGGGCGAACAACCAGAACCTTCTGCCAGAACTTACAGACGGTGAAAGTGAAGAAGAATAAATTATGTGTGTTTTTGATGTAGGCAGTCCTCCCCATGTGGGTTGAGGTACCCTATTATAGAGAACAAAGTAGAGACTCACTGCCTGCCTAACAAAGCATATTCATAGGAGGTGACTAGCAAGGGGAGGAGCAAGTGTGTTTCCTTTAAAGTTGGGAGTGCATCTGCACCAGAGACAAGGAAACAACAGTCTGTATACAAATGAACCTAGCTCTGTAAAACAGGTGCATACACAAAAGTCAAGTTCTGGATCAAGACCAAGGTCCAAAATGTGGATGAACAACCAGAACTTTCCACAGGAGTCTACAGTCAGTGAACACAAAGAAGAAGTTGTTTTAGGCAATCTAATAGCTTTAGGGAAACAGTGTTCTTGGCACAGGAATGGGGCTGTTTCGAGGCGACCGTCTGCAGTCATGCTGGAACCTTGACTAACTAATGTTGTTTGGTCATTAAACCTTGTCATGACATACACTTCAGGGTAACAAAGGTTAAGACCAAGACAAACAGAAAAAACAAATCTGCAGCTTATTGGATTAACACAGACGGTTTCATTGCAAGTACACTGTATGTAATTAAATGAATTCTTTTATTTAAATGTGGATATTATGTTTTTCAGATCTGAAAAGGGTTGAGCTTCGGACTAGAAATTCAAATTTTTGGCGAACTCAAGAGGGAGTACCGAAGACATACCTGTCAACAATTGAAGCAATTTATTATTTTATCAGGGATCTTCATACATTGTTTATTGACTCTGAGTACCAACATGAATACGACAACCTGTTGTTTTTCTTTTGTCACATCTACAGCAGAGTACAGAAGGGATCACAGCGAGCAGAGAAAAAGGTTTAAACTTATTCAAGACAACAAATATAGAGGCTGTGTGTTAGGAGAACCAGTGGAAGCAAAGAAGAGTAAGACTGAAACCTACCATCTGTATCTGGTGGGGAAGCTAAGATTTGCGATCACATAAAACCCTTTAGCTCCCTAATCCAATAAGGAACAACCTACACAGTGCTTAGTTTCAGCTAGTTGAGGGCCTGTGCTGCAATGGGAGATAACGAAAAAGAAATAAAAATATTTTTTTAATGTGTTTAATTACTCATCTTTCATATAACAACCAGTGCCCTAAAAAGATATAAATAATTTATCATATGGTAAATGACTGATGTGTTCTATCAAATTTATATTGCCAGTGCAATGACTCTGTTCTTATTGTCTTTGGCTCCAGTCACTTGCAGACTCCCATCCATGCGCTGACAGTCAACACACGAGTAAACATGGACGACAGTTAACGAAACAATGCGGTTTTACACTTTATTTGTTCTCTTGCTGTTTTTTCAGCTAGTACATGTAAGGGTACAAAACGTTTACTCATATCTATCCCAAAACACACCAACAGTATCAGCTATATTCATTCTTTCAGTAGCATGTCCCTCGCTGAACCTCGCTGCCATAACAACCCTCCGGAAAACCTTCCTATCCTGAGCAAGATGTCCTGCGTCTGATACACCCATCTGGAGATCATCTGCCACATCCTGCACCCATCTTCTCCTTGGCCTTCCTCTTCCTCTCTTCCCAGGCATATACCCCTCCATTATTGTTCTCTCTAGACTTCCATGACGTTTCAAGTGACCAAAATATTTCAATTTTCTTTGTTTTATTGTCTTTACTAGCCAACCCTCTTCAATATTCAGCTCTTGAAGTATGGATGCATTTGTTCTTTTCTTTACCCAAGATATTCTTAGAACCTGTCTGTAACATTTATATTCAAATGCATTTATGCGCTGTTCCGCTTGTTTAGTACGTGTCAAGGTCTCACAGGCGTATGTTGCAATGGGAAAGATGCATGCTCTTAGAAATCTGACCTTTGTAATTCTATCTGTACAATTCCATAATTTATTCAGTTGCTTTAGTCTTTGAAGAGCAATTGATAGTCGCCGTTTAATTTCTTTCATTGTGGCACCATTGTTGGTAACCAGTGACCCAAGATATTCGAAATTTCCCACCACTTCCAATCTTTCCTCATTAACATATATTTCCTTCTCCATGGCGGTTTTGTTTGTATGCATTATCTTTGTTTTTGCTATGTTAAGAAATAAGTTATGATTTTCACTATTTCTTTGGAGTGAGGTTAATAAGTTTTCTAAACCATTTTGTGATGTTGATAGTAATACTGTATCATCAGCATAACGAATTTCTGGTATTTCATGACCACCGATGTTTAGGGCATCATATTGTTCCTTGTTTATATCATCTCTTACATTTCTCATTATATTTTCGGCGTACAGGTTGAACAAATACGGTGACAGCACACATCCCTGACGGACTCCTTGCTTGATGCCAGACCAGTCTGATGTCTCTCCATCTATTCTGACTGCTGCTTGTTGGTCTTGATAGAGCATTTTAATGAGCTGCACTATATGTGATGGAAAGCCCATATTCCTCATGATTTCCCAAAGCTTCTGATGTTGTACACAGTCAAATGCTTTTGAATAATCCACAAAACATAAGAACAGATTTACATTAAATTCTCTACACTTCTCTATTATTAAACGCATGTTGAATATATGATCTCTTGTTCCTCTTCCCTGTCTAAATCCAGCCTGAGCTACATTAATCTCTTCTTCCATTTTCTTATGCAGTCTTCTCATTATAATTTTTAGTAGAATTTTACTTGCATGACTGATCAGGGCAATAGTTTGATAGTTTGTACATAATTTCAGGTCACCCTTTTTTGGTATTGAAATGAAGATAGTTCTCTTCCAGTCTTTTGGCCAAATACCATATTTCCATATCTTTTCACATAATGCATGATAGATTTTTATGCTTTCTTCTCCTCCCGCTTTAATCAATTCAGCTGGTATCTCATCACATCCAGGTGATTTACCATTTTTCAGGCTCCTTATTGCCCATGAAATTTCATCTAATGAAGGTTCAGGTTCTGCCTCTACTGTTACTGGTTCATGTATATCATTCATATCCTCACTGTCATTCATATCATACATTCCGCTGCAGTATTCCTGCCATCTTCCTAGAATAGTCTAGATTCTGTTAAAGTATTTTCCAACCTGTCACAAATAACATTTAACTGAGGTTGAAAATTTCTTGTCAATAACTTCATTTCCTTCATTTCGTAATCTCTTCCATTTTTATGATGCTGCTCTATTTTAATACAGCAATCTTGTACATACTGATTTTTATCCTTTCTTGTGTACTTTCTCATTTCTCGTGTTAAAAATTTATACTTCATCCTACTGTCATTGGTTTCTCCTTTCTTTTTCAGTTCCCTTCGTTGTTTTATTACTTCTAACGTGTATGGTGTGATCCATGGTTTATGTTGCTTAGTCCTGGTGGGTATTAAGTCTTTAGCTGCTGTTATCAAGATATCCCTAGCTTGTACCGCCAGTTCATCAGGTGTCATTTCCTCTTGTACAGACATCAAGACCTCAAAACGGTTCTTCACTTCTACGTTGTATGCATCTGGTATTTTTGTGAGATCAAATCGAAATGGCCTTGGTCCTCGGGTAAGCTTTTTGAGTTTTAATTTCAGATCTGCTTCTAGTAACTGATGATCTGTATCGCAATCTGCACTTCGCAGGGTTTTTGCAGATGTTATGCTCGATCTCCATCTTCTTTGTATTAAAATGTAATCTATCTGATTTTTGGTAACACCGTCAGGGGATGTCCATGTGAAAAGCCTTCTAGGGTGTTGTTTATAAAGTGTGTTAGCTATTGTTAATTCATTTCTATGCAAAATTCAATAAATTTTTCTCCTGTTTCATTTCTATTACCCAATCCAAATTTTCCTAAAACGTGTCTCTCATTTTCAGCTCTGCCTGTACCTACTTTAGCATTAAAATCTCCCATTATTATTATTATATCATTCTGATTAATTTTATTTAATGTGTCTTGCAGTATGGCATAAAAATCTTCAATTTCGCCCTCCTCTGCTGTTGAAGTTGGTGCGTATACCTGCATGAAAGTTATGTTTTTTGGACGGCCTTTAAGTCTGATTGTTAGGATTCTATCACTAACTGGATTATATCCAATAATAGCTTTTGCTGTTGTTTTATCTAAACAAAATGCCACTCCGCTCTGGCCTCTTACATCTCTACCAGAATATACGAAAAAGCTTCCATATTCATTGATAAAATGTCCCTTGCCACTCCAACGATGTTCACAAATTCCTAAGATCTGAATATTTAATCTTTCAATCTCATCACATACTACTTTAAGCTTTCCTTCATACAGACTTCTCACATTCCACGTTCCTATTCGCATTCTGTTTCTTAGTCTGACACAGTGGATTTCCTTGGTAACACAGTCAGGATTAACTCCGTCATCACGATTACTAGTACTGACCCCTGTATCACACTCAGCTATACCTTGATACAAAACACATTTTCCATCACCACAGCAATTGAAAGATAACGACTAATTTCCATCCGAGCAAACACACAATCAGCTGGTTGCGGGGGTTCCGTCAGTCGTTGCTGTCTGGCCAAGTAGGCGTTGAGAAACTCTGCAGGCATATCAGGCTCAAACACATTCTGGATCCAACAGACACTCCTCCGTTTTTCATGCATTCAGTTTGTGGCCCAAACGATACTGTCAACATGCTCTTTCTAAGTCACTATATGATCTTCTAACGCCCACATTATAATTACGACTTTTTCTCCGATTCACACGGGTTTCATTTGACCAACATTTTTGCCGTGCTTCACGGCTCTGCCCTCGTTACATTTAAATATATCATTCATATTTATTAGCTGACGTCATTCCGTCTGGAACATAACTTATCAAGGAGAAAATGGTTCACTGCACTCTCCCCCACCCCAAAACATTTTCCTTCAAGTAGGTGTGATCATTATATTTATGTTTTCTTTGAATATGATAACCTGAGACTTTTGTAGTGGATCATTTTCGACAAGTTCATTTCTAAACAAGTTTCCCTCTTTTCATTGGGTCTACACTTCAAACAATCCAAACTGCCATCTGTTAGGTCTTTCCATGACTGTGAATACCTTAATGAGATCCTCACCCCAGGCATTCCCCGTTTAGCGTGGAAGACCAATAATTTGGCTCCATAGTTTTCCCCACCCAGTCCTAAAGTCGGTATACAACCAAACCTCTCCCCAGGCACTCATGTTTAGTGTGGAAGACCAACAATTTGGCTCCATAGTTTTCCCCACCCAGTCCTAAAGTCAGTATACAACCAAACCTCTCCCCAGGCACTCATGTTTAGTGTGGAAGACCAACAATTTGGCTCCATAGTTTTCCCCACCCAGTCCTAAAGTCGGTATACAACCAACCCTCTCCACCGGCACCCCCTGTTTGGTGCTGAAGTCTAAAATCCAAGTATGTCCCTATGAAGTCCCACCCTCGCTATTCACATTCATGAAAGCCCCCAACAATGGCAAAATTAGCGATGTGATCATGTTCCCTACTGTGTAAGGTGCAAGCTGTTAGTTATTCGACTTGTTTTCAGAAAAATACATGTCTCAATAGCACAAATATTCAACCTCAATGTTACATAAATATCAAATTTGGTACACCAATGAATGTTGACATAATACTTTCTGGTGTGGTGTGTTTTCAACCTGAATATTGTCTCCCTTTACTTATAACCTCTTAAACTGATATGACTGATTAAGTCAGAATTTATTCTTTTTTGTTCGTTCTAAATTCACACAGCACATTCATTCCATTATTTTCATATACTATGTCAACAACATTGCATAAAAAAACATCATTTTACACATCAGTTAAATCAGTAGTTGTAAATATTCTACAAATGTGACATGATATCTAGTAAGTGGTTATCTGTTCCTTTGATATGTTCAATATTA